ACCCCCTTTAAAGACTCTACTCACCAGCACCTCCCTCCCAGGGTGATTATCACCCTGGGAGGGAAGACACAAAGAGACCCTCAACTCCTATCCTCTGGGAGGATAATGGGTTATTCACACCAAGGAGATCTCCAGCCCCACACCTGGCCCTCTCAGGCAGACCCCAACAGGCCTCATTGTACTAGGCCTGCCTTGTAAGGGTGTCAGCCCTGGGAAGCCTAAGTCCCCAGCTGGGGCACTCCTGGCCCTCCTCCCCTGGACTGGAGAGGGTGATTTGGGGGGAGGTGGGCCACCATTCATCCCACACTCCTCTCAGAATTTTTCTCCTCTCAAAAGTCCTCATAGAGAAGTCCTCACAGAGATGGGAAAATGGGAGGGAATAATTAAGAAAGCCATTAGCAGTTCAAGGCCCATCTGAGAGGGATTAAGGGATTAAAAGCCTTCCAACAGGTCTCCCCTCCTTGAAGGCTGTTGCTCTGGTTTGTTTTCAGGACTTTTTCCCTTTCTTTTTCCCTGGGTTAGGGGAAGACTAAAACTTTGGTGGACCCTCCCATCCAGAGCTTCAGGAAGTCAAGACATTCCAGTCATATTCAGCTGGCCAAAGGAGTGGGGCAAGCAGGTGTGAGCAGGCAGCCCCCTCCTCAAGCTATCCTGGGCTGCCCTGAATCTCCTCAGTTCAGGTGTAGGGAACAGACGTGTGCAGAGACCAGGGGACCCTCAGGGAAGCCCAGGTAGGCCTGCTGGGAGCAGGCTTCCTCCTCCAAAGGACTCCCGAGGTCTCAGTCCTGCCAGGCCTCTCCTACATCCTCTGTTCCCAGCTGAGTACAAGCAGTCTCTCTCTGCCCCTTTCTAGCCAAAGCAATGAGTCAGAGGGCTTTACCTTTTTCTAGAAAGCCTGAGGCTAGAGGTCAGGGAAGGATATAGAAGGGATTCAGGATGGCTAGGACACAGGCAGAAAAGGCCACTGTCTGTTTGCAGTAAGTGACTCAAGTCCACTGCCCTTGCAGAGCATATTGCAGCCGGGTAAATGGACAAATGTACAGCTCAAGCCTACATGCAAATAGGAGTGAGGAAGGCATGCAGGGGAGGTAGGCCTCATCTACTCTGGAGACAGAGGGACAGTCCCCTGGAAGAGATGACCATAGTGCAGTTCCCAGTCTCCCTCCCACACCTTCCTGTCACATGATGGGGGCTTGATGGCTGTCAGATAACTGTTGCAGTCAGGTGTGTCACCAAGTCACTGTCTCACTGAGATGGTCTGTCAGGCCATGGGCCGAAAACCCACAGGGAGAAATTCAAACATCATTTCATGAGAGAAGGAAAAGGCCAAGCATCATATCACCAGAGAGAGCAGCAGGCAACTGGGAACTCTAGACAGTGCAGAGAGCTTTGGTTGTCAAAAGCAGAGGGGTATATTAGGGTACACATCCAAACTCTCCCCAGAGTCTCCACACACTGCATCCTGACCCCGTGGCCATTCTAGGAAAGAAAGACCCTGGTGTGAGGTCCTCTCATACCCACACATTGGCCTCCCTGGATCCTGTTTGGGAGCTCCCAGAGTTCAGGTTGCCCCCTCATTTCTCTGGAAAGCTCAGCTAAACACCCTCCAAGCCTCTGTACTCACCAGCCCACCAGCTAGCAGGGCCTGATGCTAGGGGCAAGAGGGGAGCGAGCAGGCCTTTCCAAGATGCAGGTGGGCAGCAGCCCTTGCTCAAGACTTTGCCAAAGGGGTGGATGATGGGTGATGGGCACTGACAGCAACCTGCTTTAGCATTACTGAGGCCATGATTAGTGGTCCTTGTTAGCAATTGCCAACAAGAAGCCCATTGCTGATTCTATTACCACCAGTCCTGGAAGCTTGGCAGGTATGGGCAGGAAGGCTGGGAGAGCAAATGAATGGCTTGCAGTCTGGGCTATAGCATAGGTGGACATCACCATAGTGCTGGGTCCCTGAGCAGCAGAGCTGGGGGTCTGGGAAACCCTGCCCCCACCCCAGGTTCCTTGACCCTCTGTGGGGCAGCCTCCTCCATGGTGTTGGGGCAAAATGAAACATGAGGAATTGTGGGGAGGAGGGGTGTCTGTGCCTTTAGAACCAAACCCAGACTGCAGGCACCAATGGCCAGTTTGTAAAGGCTCGGGTGAAATGAGCTAGAAGGGGATTGGGAACAAGCCCCCCAGTGTCCTGAGGCACATTCCTTGTTCTGGAGAGACTGAGATGGATGGTGCTGAGCAGGGAAGGGAGGTGCTAAGGCAGGGGTGGGGGTGGGGTTTCTCCTGCTGAGGGCTCTCCAGCCAAGAGCAGGGTTGGAAAGGAAAGCTTCAGGATCCAGAGGATGCCTCCACAACAAAGCCTTCTTTCCCTCAGTCTCAGCCAAGAGGGGACTCTTTCCTGTCCAGGGACCAAAGAGTACCTGAGTGTCCAGAGAGCTCTGAAAAGGCAAACTAAAGGGAGAGGGCCTGCAGGGTATGGAGCCCTGGCAACCAATACTGGGCTCTCGGGCTACCCTACCCAAGCTGTTGTGCATCTGGGAGCACCTTGTAGGGGAGGGCACCTTGAGGGACAGTGTGCTCTGTGCTTTTGAGCTTCTTCCGGAGGCAGCTGTTGGGGTCTCTGAAGCAGCCGCCATGAAGCCAATTTGGAGTTCAAGGTGGATCAGAGATCTGGACAGAGGAGCTGATTTCCAAGGGGTTGTGTGGGAGGTGGGGGTAGAACTCTGCCTGCTTCCTTAGTACCAGGAAATGGCTCAGCTCCCACTCCGCCCCTGGTCCCTAGCTAACTTCCCTCCCATTTCGCAGTGTCTCAAATGCTATCAAAGGAACAGGGCCACTTGGAAAGGGGCAGCCTTTGGGGCCTGCCAGCACTGCGCTGCTTCTCCTTCCCTAAGATTTCTTACAGCCAGACCAACACCTTCCCCCAGTTCCTGCTCACTACTGTGAGCTTTCAACCCTGCAAAAGCCTGTAAGTGCGTTTATATGCCACCGCACCTGGCTCAATTTTCACAGTTCTCCTCTGTCACAGAAGAACCGCTGGGCATCTCACATTGTAACTCACCCTGCTTTGAGGCACCCTGAGTTCTTTGCTCTGGGCTCTAGAAGAGATATGGCCCCAGAGACAACTGTCAGAGTCCCAAGGGTGAGTGCGATGTGAGAATAAAGCTGTAGGCCAGAGATGCCTGAGAAGAGCACCACCGACTGCTGGTTTGAACCCAGCTACAGAGGCACGAAGTGCCCGCGCAGGGCATGCGCAGTTGAGTCAGGGGCGGCGTGCGCCCACGAGGTCTGACCCCAAGGCGAAGCTTCCAAGTGCAGGTCCCCTGGCCGCCGTCTGCGGGCCGGGCGGCTCAGACAATGGCGCTTCTATCCCCGGGCGCACGGCTGCCCCCCGCCCGGCTGTCCCTTTCAGGCTGGAAGCCGGCGGGGTTCTCTCCGCCGCCGACATTTGCATAGCGGGCGCGGGGACAGTGGCTGGCTTTGTTGGCGGCGGCGAGGGGGCGCGGGCGGCGGGCACAGCCCTGCAGACAAAGCCGCTGGGGTGGGGTGGGGCGGCCACCGGGCGCACCTCCGACGCCGCGCCGTGTCTAATTCCTCCCAGAGCGGTCCGCGCCGTGTCGGGAATCCCAATGGGCCGGGCCTGACGCAGAGTGCGCGGGTTCGAGTCCTCCTACCACACCAGGCCAAGGAAGGGAGGCGGCTGCTGGACAGCCCTGTGGCCCACGGCGTCCGGGAGCCTGGACCCTTGCTGTGGTACTGAGCCAGAGCTGTGGTGGTCTCTGAGAGCCTCCCAGCACCGCCTCAGGCTGTGCTGACTCCCTCTCCCCAGCAGCTCACCTCCTGTCCAGTCCCTAGAAGCATGCTGGAGCTGAGGGTCCCCTTCCATCATTGTCTCCAGGGCTCAGGCACTGGGACTGGACAGAGTTCATGAACAGGCAAGGTCCCCTTGTCCTGCACTTAATGATACCCTAATGATCAGATGGGGTGGTCCTGAGGGGCAGAAGCCTCATTGCCCCCTCTCTGGCATCCTCCTGACCTGTTCATTGTCATTTTGTTGGCCCATGCTGAATGGATAGGCCACCATGTAGGGAACTGTGATGCTGATGCCCCCCGCCCCAATCCATGATGGATGAAATGGAACAATCTGTGGAGACCCACCATGTGCTCCTGAATTTAAGGCCAAATAGGGGAAAGAAGAGTTAAATACACAGTGAAGAACCAAAGGTGTGAATTAGGTGAGTTGGGACCTGAGTAGAGAGGCTGGTAGGGGAACCAGCACCATTATGGACACAGGAGTTTGGTGGCAGTGATGAAGCTCAGAAGTCACACAGGATGCACACAGTGAGCCCTCACCCTGTCCCTCATCCCAGGGCCTCTTGGCAGCCTTTTGCCCTAGAAAGCTGTCAACTGCCCTGTCCCAAAAGGGCTCACTTGCCTCTTCTCCAGGAAGCCTCCCTGGATTAAGATGGCTTCTCCCCTCAGACAGGACCACCCAGGACTGGAGGAGTTTTTGTTTTTTTTTTTCAGGCCTGAAGAAAAGGCTTGGTTACAGTTCAGAAGGAATCAAGCAGTAGCAGTAGAGAGGACCAGGCTGTTAATCTTGATGCCATGAGTAAAAGAATGTTCACAGTTTTGCTTCCCCAGAGAGGCTGGGCAGCAGCTGGAGGCTCTGGGGCCACCACAGGCCAGTTGGCTATCCATCACCCATCTAGAGCTGGTAGCTGGGGCCTCAACACTTCCCAACTGCACACCCCATCTCCCCCAGTGAGCTGACAATGACTAGGAGTCTTCAGTTTCAGCCCTTCGATCCCTCAGTGTACCTAACCCAGCTGGCAATGGGCTGGAAGGAGCCCATTGCTCCCTGGAGGAGGAGGGAACTGAAGGAGCAAGGTTTGTCCTTCCATAGCCTCCAGCTACAGCCCAAGAACCCACTGGGCAACTTTGCCCTTCTCCCAGGGCTGGGCCCCAGGATCCATGTTTCTTCCTGGAGTTTCTAACCCTGAGAAGTCTTAGTTTGGAGGCAGAGGTGTTTATTGTTATATTCAACTCCTGCAAGAAACCCACTGGCAAATAGCTAAAGGAAGGAGGGGTCCTAGCCCCTCACTGGGAGGAGGCTTGCTATCTGCTAAAGGAATGGGTTCTCTGTGGGATGAGATAGGAAATTCATGACATCAGCTGACATGTTTGGGTGCAGCTCAGGAAGGGCTGGTAGCCTCAGCACTGAGGCAACTGCTGGACACTTAGGCTGCAGGAAGGACCTCTGTCATGGCTGATGACCTAGGTGAGGAGGCGTCTTCTGCTGATTCTGGAGCGCCCTCTGGTGGTGAGATGACTCAGCTCAACAGAGCTGCCTTCCTGATCCTCCTGAGCCACAGCCCAAAGCCTCAAGGCCCTATTCTCTGCTCCACAGCCTCAGGACGGGACTAGCACCAGGTGATGACTGCCTGGGGCTACTGAGTTGTGGCAGCCAAGTCCTTATCATGTCCCTCTTGGGCCCTATGGGGGTCTCTTCCTACTCCAATCAGAGGCCCACCCAGCTGAGGGTCAGGAAGGGTTCTTGGACAACACAGGCTGGCTGGAATGGCCCCTGTAGAGGGCAGGTTAGGTGGAGCACCTATCCAACAGGACAGGATGGGGCATCTAGGATGAAGCTCCGTGGGCCCAAGGAGAAATATTTTGTCACTACTAAGGTCTTTCACCACCCCAAGGTTCTCAGGAGTTAAAGGGAAGAGGCACAAACAGAAGCTGTCAGAGTCCTAAGTGATGGTGTTTTTGTCACCTGGCTGCCTACCCAAAGTAGGCCTGGTTAAGGTGTCACTGGAACAACGGGGCAGCAGTCACCTAGGCCTAGCTTTGGCTCCTTCTAGCCACGGGTGCAGGCTGATGGGATCCTGCCTAGGACTGAGAGGCTCCTTCTGGCTCAAAACATCCATGCAGCTATAGGAATAGGAGCTGAAATGGATCTCTGGGCAGAAACCATCATCGTCTCAGAGAACAGTGTCATGCTGGCAACAGTTAGGCCTGAGTGTCTGTCTCCTCCCCTCTCAAAGGCTCCTGTACTTCAGACTCCTGCTCTCCAGGTACCTGCAAAGCAAGAAACTGTGAAGGAGCCAGAAAGGAGGCAAGTGGTAGCCCAAGCTAAGGTGAGGCAGCTGAGAAGGGAGACTTTGAGGGGCACCATAGGACAAGTGCTGTAGCTATCTACCTCCCAGTGAATCTGGTCCTCGAAGCATTGGGAGTCTGTGGGGAAGTCCAGGAAGGGCAGCTTCAGCAGGAGTCCTGGTGGCCATAGGGGAAGATATATAAGGCTCCTCGGTCTCTACTCCAGGGGCAGGTTGCCACCCAGTGCCAGAGGCATGAGTCAGTGTGGTTCCTGACACAAGTAAAACCCAGTTGCATCTGTGGCCAGAACTATGGGCTGCTGAGCACTGCCTTTCTGAAAAGTCACAGACCTGCAAGGTAGCTCTCTCCTTGAATTATCTACAAAGAAACCAAGGCTGGCAGAAAAGAAGGAATTTGTTCACATTTGCAAGTCAGTAACTGGCCGACTGAGGTTCTGTCATGAAGCACTGCTACTGAGTTTTCAGTGGCTCCCACACAGGAGGGCCCAGAAGATGTTTACTGTATGAATTTGTGACTGAGGGAACCGTGGACCTTAGAGAATGAGACTTTCAAAGTGAGGATGGGTATGGGAGGGTGAGGATACTGCATCCGGATTTATTTTTAAGTCTGGACATTAGGAGAGACTGTAGGAGAGATTGCATGACCTAGGACCAGTGGACAGGCAGCTTCTAATGGAAGGCTTTGTGCTCTGGTATATGGTGAGCTAGGCCTCCTTTCTTTCTGCCTACTGCTGCCCAGAGGAGCTGCTCAATCAAGCCCCTTCCCAGCTTCCTCTAGAGTTGGACTGCCCTCTAGTGGGCTGAGGGAGCAGCCCAGGAGTCATCAGCCCACGACCAGTCAAGTTGATTTGACAACTGCATTTATTCCACACTGCAATTGCTACAGGTTAATAATATTGCTTTATCGGGAAATATTTATCTTGAGGAAAAGTTATCCAATACAGAAGATAACTTATCCAAGGACAAATAGAAAGGGGGCTGTGTCTAGAGGCCCCCTGTGGGCTCCAGGAGGATGTAGTTGTCCACCTGTGACTCCCCACTCAGTGGCCATGCTACTGTCTCACCTGGCACAAGGCAGGTGTTCTGTAAGGATCTGGAAGTAATCCCGCATCAGGGACACAGTGTCCCAGCCCTGCCTCCTGGGCACCCCTCCTTGGAGCTCGTGCCTGCTCCCATACCCAACCAAAGCCACTTACCTCCAAGGCTGCCACCCACAGAGGCAAACACCAGTGTAACAAACAGCCCAAAAAGCTGGTACATGGCCTGAGACATGGCACTGCGCTGGCCCTTGGCTATGAGTGGAAACACACTCTGCAGGCTGCAGGGAGACAAGGGAAAGACAGGGATGGAGCAGGTAGTCAGGGCTGGCCACTCTACCACTGGATCTCATGCCTATGGTGGCCAAAGTAGCAAGGGTGTCCAGTGAGCTCCACTGCCTTACCTCCAAGCCTTCACTCAGCCAGGCCTCACCTGAAGTGCTCTCTTCCCCTAAGCCAGCCAACTCCACGTACCTTCCAGAACCCAGCCTGAGGGTCCCTTTTGCCAGGCCACTCCTCCAAGGATCACTGTCTCTTACTCGCCCTGAAGTAATGCTCAGTGGTCTTAAAATCATTTGCTTAGTGACTGTCCACTGCACTGACCAGGAGGCCAGACTTGATGGGTCCCACAGTACAGTGGATGAGAACAGGTGGAAATTCTTTGTTCTTGGTCCTCAGAGAAGGAAGGAGATCATCTCAGAGAGGGTTAGGGAAACTCACCCATCTCCATAAGCCTCATGGGTGGCCAGCCCAGTCACTAGGACCCCCAGGAAAGCCCCCAGCAGTCCTGGCATCCCATGCAGGTTGTGGACACCACACGTGTCTTGCACTTTGAATCTGGATTCAAGGACAGGCTGGAGGACAGGATGAAAAATTAGTCTTGGGTGACCCACCTACCTCCATCCTGGGCCTGATGGGGAAGTAGAGGAAGGGTTGGGGATCCTGTGTCCCTAATGGGGGCTCATTCCCTCCCATGTTTGCCCAGGGCCCAAGAGGCAATCATACCGTAAAGAACTTATACCCCAGGACGGAGACAGTCCCAGCCAGGAAGCCAGCTGCCAGAGCCCCAAAAGGTGTCAGCATCATTTCACTTGATGTCCCCACCACAACCCCTCCAGCCAGTGCAGCATTCTGAATGTGGACCTAAGGGGACAAGAAAGAACAAGGTGGCCTCTCAGGTCATCACACCCACACTCATTCCAAGCCTACCCATTATAAGTGACACCTACTGCTTCTGGAAGTCCCTCTGCCATCTAACCTCTAACTCTCCCGCTTTCATATGCTGCCTCCTCCCACTCTGACACCCCACTCCCATGCAGATGGAGGCCCTATGCTTGACCTTGAAGACCTCCCTCCCTGGCTGTCCATCTGCCCCATACCATGTCCAGTCGCCCATCCCCACCGACAAGGGCCGACAAGGCGAAGGTGCTAAGGGTGCTTGCAGTGAGCGAGTAGTATGTGTTGAGAGCTGTACGATGCTGCCCATCCCCCAGCGCTGTGGGTGCAGAGTTGAAGCTCGGCCAGAAGATCCATAGGAAGATAGTCCCTAAACCACAGGTACTCAGGGTGAGTATCTGGTAGTGAGTGGCTCCCCCGCTGGGGGGTGCCATGACACTGCAGCGCCATCACCTACATTGCAGCCTCCAGTTCCTCACCTGTACCCAAGATTGATGTAATACCATCTCACAGTGACAGTTGCAGAAGTGCTATATATAAATGCCTGCATCATGGTCTAGCAAGGCTAACAGCTCAACAAGGGGCTGGTGTGAGGCTTGGTGGAACAACACTTGCCTAGCACATGCCATACCCTGGCTTCCATCCCCAGTATACCCCTCTCCAAAGAACCAGAGAAGAAGCCAGGCAGAGGTTGTAGTACAGCTGTGTGGGTACTAATGAACAGTATAGAGCCTTACAGCCTACCTGTCTCCCAGAGAAACCTGTTTGCCAAGCCTGGACTGCTGGGCACTCACTCTGCTGTGGGGCACAAACAAGGGGCCTGCTTCAAGGCTCCCAGAGGGAGAGAGAGAAGCTGAGAGCTTGCAGGATGGAGCAGCAAGGTGGGAGCTTCTTTGTGTAACTTGTCCCTGTATCCCTCACATATGAGGTCTCCAGGCAGAGATCTGGGAGAAGGGAGGGAGGGGCCAGGCTACTTGTGCTCCCTCCACCATGAAGCATAGGAGCTGGGACTGGACAGAGCACCCAGAAGGTTCTCATCTTTGGGCAACATTAGGACTTCGAGCCAAGCTTATCTGGGTCTTGAAAGGCAGGGAGGACATGGCTGTGTCAGTGAGCCCAGAGTTAGGCCAGAAAATTAAACTAGTCTGGCTTAGATGCACGAGCAGGCACTGCCCACCATTTTCAATACCCTCTAGGGAAACATAGATTTCCAGATGACAGGCTGTGAAAGTGAGAAAACAGAGGCTGCTGGATGTGGTTACTTAGAGGAAACAGACCCTCCTGTTCCCCGGATGACCCAAGGCCCCTCCTTCCCTGCCTGACAGGTAAGGGCTTTTGGGGATGCAAGGAGTCTTGAGGATAAGGAAGCTAGCTCCAGCACTGGGCAGGAAGGGACACAGAGGGGGGATGGTATCCCAGGATGCAGGATCTGGCTCCTCAGGTGTGGGCTGCTGGGCCCAGGAAGGTTTAAAGCAGGACTGAGATGGATCTGGAGAGGCCCTGGGCCTGGATGTGGGCATATGTATATCCCAGGGTTGAGTAAGAACCTGTCCACAAGGTAGGGGCAATGGTGAGCTCAAAACTCAGGCCTCTCAGAATGCAAATAGGAAGGCCCTGAAGTTGGCAGATGGCACTATGAAACTTTCCCTAGAGATGGAAGATGGTGTTCTCCAGCCCCCATGCCACCCTGCCTCACCAGGTCTCACCAATCATGGCAAAGAGGTCAGAATGATAGACAGAGCCCTGGCGTTGCCTGCTCTTCTCCAGCTGGGACCTATAGAGGACCCTTGAGAGGAACAGCCCGAAGTAGGCTCCAAATGTGTGGATGGTCATGGAGCCTCCAGCATCTCTTACCTGGGGAAGAGGATGGAGGTGGTTAAGGCAGTCCCTGTCCCTACTACCTCTCCCAGCTCAGGCCTCAACCCCTCCTAGCCAGACTCACCCCCAAGAGACTGAGTAGCACAAACTCGTTGACACTGAACAGCACCACTTCCCACAGGGCCATGAGCAGCAGCTGGGCTGGTCCAGTCTTGCCCAGAACAGCCCCAAAGGAGATGAGAATGGCCCCTGCGCAGAAGTCCGCGTTGATCAAGCTGTGGTGGGATAGGGGCAATGGAGGGGCAAGAAAATGACTCCAACGTGCCTCCAGGCCCCACTGGGCCTGGAGGGGAATTGGGTTGGGGG